AGTCTGGCTGAGGGGCTGAGGGCCGTTTTCCGGCTGGCGGGTGACTGAAGCTCCCAACTGCTCCTTTTTTTCTTTTTTTTTTTATTCTGGGGCTTATTTCTATGGCTGTCACTGGAGCTGAGAGCCGGCTTTAATTCTGAGGCCTGTCTGCAGCTCTGAGACCTCGGCGCTGAAAGCAAGGATCTGGGTTTGTTCTATAATTGAAACAATGTTGCGGTCCTGCTGGCTGAAGCCCGGCTGGCTGAAAGCAGGTTTCTGGGGTTTTGTTTAGCTTCTATATTTGTAACAATGTTTCTTAAACTGCAAGCTCAGAGGCCGGCAAGGCAGGCGGGGAACGTTGGCTTCCTCCGTCACTGAAGCAAGCAAGCCTCCTGTTTGCTTCAAGCTGCCTGGCTGCCAGCCGCTATCTTGGTTGGCAGTTAATTTGCATATCGCCCTGATTAGCCAATGGGAAGGGTAGCGGAGGTACAGCTAATTACCATGTTTCTCTATTATTAGATAGGATATATGCCTAAGTGACCATTATGACAGAACGACCAGTCAACCAGTCACTATGATGCGCACTGACCACCAGGGGGCAGACGTTCAAGGCAGGAGCTGCCCCCTGGTGGTCAGTGGGATCCCACAGGCCTGCAGGGATCAGGCCTAAACTGGCAGTCGGACATCCCTCTCACAATCTGGGACCCCTCGGGGGCCTAAACTGGTCGTTGGACATACCACAAGGGGTCCCGGATTGAGAGAGGGTGGAGGCCGGGCTGAGGGACACTCTCCCTCTACCCCCGCCCCCAGTGCACAAAATTTCATGCACTGGGCCTCTAGTTTAATACAAAATTTGCTGTGGATTAAATTTATAGTCTCCCTCTTACCCCTGTCCCCGAGTTCCCCTCTCAAGAAACTATTACCAGCAGTTTTTTGTAAGTCAAGGGTAGAAAATTGGTAGTTTCATATGATCAACCCAATAGTTACAGGGGTCACTTCCACAGGGTGTGAATTTTGACAAATTTCACTTTCTATCTTATGCATGCCTTTAATGTTTGAACTTTATTATTTTATTAACAACAACCTTGTCTAATATAAGAAGAAAATTTTTCCATAAAAAAGTGAAAAGCAAAAGAGAACGCTATGCAACTGCGAGCTGGCTTTCCCTTCTATACATGGGAAAGCTATACACGTAGGAGATAGTCTTCTTTGGCATCTTGGTTGGTCATGATAGGCTGATGGCATGCAAGGAGAGCTTGTTTCCAACATGCCTCCTGCAGTAGCTCTGGCCTTCTAGACCAGTGGTTCTCAACCTTCCTAATGCCGCGACTCTTTAATACAGTTCCTCATGTTGTGGTGACCCCCGATTTCATTGTTACAAATCGAACATAATTAAAGCATAGTGATTAATCACAAAAACAATATGTAATTATATATGTGTTTTCCAATGGTCTTAGGCGACCCCTGTGAAAGGGTTGTTCGACCCCCAAAGGGGTCGCGATCCACAGGTTGAGAACCGTTGTTCTAGACAAACACTCAGCAAAGGATGAGTACCCACCACGTGTTAACCGGGTCACACTTACTGGCCTTGGATACGGGATCTGGTAGTGCAGTCCGATTTCGATCCTAGCTGTGCATTCATCTATGCACTGCTTAATCTGGTCTGTGTCTGTGAGCTGGTGAAAGACAAAACGGGCATTTTTCTAATGCCACACAGAATACAGGTACACATTTTCTGAAACTCTTTTGATTTACCATTCAATAAACTAAATATTGATAATTCAAAAATTCAAAAGAAATCTATATATATAATATATATAAAAGCCTAAGCGACCGTTATGACCGGATGACCACCAGGTAGCTACGATGCACACTGACTACCAGGAGGAAGCTCAATGCAGGAGCTGTCCCCTGGTGGTCAGTGCGCTCCCACAGCCAACTTCCTGCAGCTGGCCAACCTCCCGAGGTCCCTCCCTGTGGCCGGCCAGCCCCCATTGGCCCCTCAGGGCGGCCAGCCCCAATAGGGGCTGGCCAGCTAACCTCCCGGCCCCGATGAGCCTGATTGGGACTGGGCAAGATGGGCCCCAATCGGCCCCGATCGCCAGCCAGGCCAAGGGACTCCACCCGTGCATGAATTCGTGCACCAAGCCTCTAGTTTAATATAAAATTTGCTGTGGACTAAACTTACAAAATGAAGTCTCCCTCTTACCCCTGTCCCCCAGTTCCCCTCTCAAGGACAACAATTACTAGCAGTTTTTTGTCTGTCTTCCCAGTGGTATTCTCTGCATATATCAGCATACATGTATACATGTAGGTTTTTTTCTTTGCTTTTATTGAATTTTTTTAAATTGGACATTATTGTAGGAGTCCCCCTCCACCACTCCCCCTTTGCCCACCTGAACCCTCCCTTTTCCTTCACCTTTACCAAATTATTGCCTGTGCCCAAGGGGTATGCATATATGGTTTTGGGGGTTTGTTTTTTTGAGCGAGGGAGAGGGAGAGAGGAATAGAAACATTAATGATGAGAGAGAATCATTGATTCACTGCTTCCTGCAGGCTCCCAACTGGGGATGGACTCGCAATCTGGCCATGTGCCCTGACTGGGAATCGAACCGTGAGCACCTGGTTCAAAGGTCAACGCTCAACCTGAACCACACTGGCTGGGCTGCATATGTTCTTTAGCTAAACCCTTCACCTTCTTATCTAGTCACCTCCCACCAACCTCCCCTTGGGCACCAGCCAGTCTGTTCCATGTATTCATGTTTCTGGTTCCATTTTGTTCATCAGTTTATTTTGTCCATTAGATTCTACAAATGAGTGAGATCATACGGTACTTGTGTCTCTGACTGGCTTATTTCACTTAGCATAACGCTCTCCAGGTCCATCCATGCTGTTAAAAAGGGTAAGGGATCCTCTTTTTTAAAGCTACATACTATTCCACTGTGTAAATGTATTATAGCCTTTTTTATCCATTCAAGGTTTTTTTCTCACTTTGTTCTGAACCTTGCTTTCTCCACTAATAAACTGAAACTCCTTCTATATTTATGCATGTAAAACTGCCCCATTCTTTTTTTTTAAATATATTTTTATTGATTTCAGAGAGGAAGGGAAAGGGAGAGAGAAACATCAATGATGAGAATCTGATCCTCTACTGGGGATCGAGCCCGCAACCCCAGCATGTGCCCTTGACTGGAATCGAACCTGGGACCCTTAGTCCACAGGCCGATGCTCCATCCACTGAGCCAAACCAGCTAGGGCTGCCCCATTCTTTTGAACAGCTGTACCAAATTCCAACATAATTTAACCAATCTTCTCCTGATGGACATTTAGGTTATCTCCAATCTTTGCCATTATAAACAAATAAGTTATGGATCCCTCTAAATTTTTTTGGCTCATATACAAATATATCTAAAAGATAATTTCCTAAAGGAAGAATTATGGGTCAAAGGGTATATGTTCATGCATTTTTAATTCTCATAGATAGTGCCTCTAGATTCAAATACCCAGTGATTTTCAACCTTTTTAATCTCATGGCACAGAAACTAATTAATAAAATTCTGCAGCACACCAAAAAATGTATTTTTTGCTGAGCTGACAAAAAAATAGGTATAGTTTTATTTCATTCCTATTGGACAGCTGTTGTGTTGGCTGTTGTCATTTTTTTATTTGGCTATCTAAAGGAAGAGAGGTCAGAGCCCCTGACTAAATAGTCAGGTATTTCATGTTTTAAACATTCTTGCGGCCCTGGCTGGGTGACTCAATTGGATTGTCATCCTATACACCAAAAGGCTGCAGGCTCAATTCCCAGTCAGGGCACATACCTAGGTTCTGGGAGCATATGAGGAGGCAACTGATCGATGTTTCTCTCTTACATCGTTGCTTCTCTCTCTCCCTCTCTCTAAAAATCAATAAAAATATATCCTCAGGTGAGGATTAAAAAAGAAAAAGTATAACTAAAAATTCTTGTGGTCCCCTCGTTGAAAATTGCTGCTCTAAGGGGCTGATGGATTTAAATTCCTTCAAGCAGCTATGAATCACATTCCCACAGCACTTCTTCACATCCTCGCACGTTGGTCAAACTTTAAAGTAACCCAATTGTCTCAGCAAGTGCTGCTAGACACTGAAGAATGATTCATCTCTCTCTCATTTTAAACTGTGAATTGCCTTGCTCATTAGTAAGGGGAAGAAATGGCTTCTGAAATTCTAAAATGGCCAAATGGTAGTAGTCCAGTTTCAAGTAAAAGAATGACAAGTTCATTCTCAACAACAGAAAGCTGGTGGTGAAGGGGAGAGAGCCTCTCACTCTGAGATGCCGTGAGTCAACGCGGGCTGCTAAGCAGTTGCCAGTGGCCTCAGAGCCAAGCTGGGCTGCAGCAGCCCCACAGGACACCACAGGGAAGGCTGGGCCGCGCGGCTTGGAAAGCCCAAGTGCCTTTGTGTCCCGTGGCACTTCCTGGAGCATGAGAATTGCAGTGCACAGACCCCAGTGGAGTCCCTTGGGCAGAGGCTCAGCTTTTTGATCTCTGTGCTGCTCAGAAGCTGTTGCTTTGATGCCCACCTTGGGAACATGTCCATGTCCCTTCCCATTTGCCTCTTAGGATTCAGAGCAATTCATGAGATACCTTTGGATTATTATCAACCTCTTACAGCAAGTGGTTACAAGAAACTACGTATGTCTGTCTGTAATGAGCAATGGGGGAGAAAGAAAGCCCTGACAGAGCTATGGCCACGGCGCCGAGGGCGCCTGGGCTCCAGCTTCCATCTGAACAAGTTTGGGTTAGAGTTCTCCAAATTCCACCTTTCAGAGGCTGCCTGCATGATTTGATGTCCCCACCACCTACACTAACACTAAACTTTTTCTTTATGCCCTGGCTGGCTTGGCTCAGTGAACAGAGCATCGGCCTGTGGACTGAAGGGTCCCAGGTTCAATTCTGGTCAAGGGCACATGCCCAGGTTGTGGGCTCAATCCCCAGTGAGGGGTGTGCGGAAGGCAGCCAATCACTGATTCTCTCTCATCATTGATGTTTCTCTCTCTCTCCCTCTCTCCTTTTTCTCTGAAATCAATAAAAGTTTTAAAAAAATAAAAATAAACTTTTTCTTTAAATGGACTCTTCTAAGCATAGTAATTGTGAAAGAACCTGATACTCTATTTTCTTTCTATACATAGGAAAACAAGCACATATGTTAAAATGAAAAGCCCATGTACCTCCCCCAACATAAAAATCTCACTTCTGCACCGCCATGCACACATGCGCCCTCCGCCCCCACACACTGGGCCCATGCAAGCAGCGGCAAGTGAGGGACTGATGGCTGCCATACTGGAAACCCAGGGTCTTAGCATCCTCAGGCGAGTCCTCAGGGCACGTGCTCTTGTGGCACCCCCAGCACCAGGCTGGGCATTGTGAGGCCATGGTCCCTGCCTTTACTGCCAGAGAGGACAACCTGACACCTAAAGCTACAGAAAGGCACAGTGGTGCACAATCAACTACCATTTAGGAATTCAGGACAGGGCTCATCCTGGGGTCAGGTGAGAGCAGAGAAACTGAGGAAGGCCTCCTGAAGGCGAATTGAGTCAAAGTATTTGTAACGCTGGTCAATCTATGACACCCACAAGGCAGGCCCATGAGCGACGCTCTGGAGTGTAAGGCACTGTATTAAGTTCATTAAGTACACTAATAATTTCATTATACACAAAGCAGACATTTTGAAACGATGCAATAAAAATAAACAGAAACAGCACTTGCAGTATTTGATTCCATTCCTCCCAGGGCAGTTTAAGGACCTTGGGGCTGCGTGGAAGCTGGTGTGGCACGCATGGTGTGCACCAGGAGCAGAGTGTGGAGAAGCTGGAGGGTCACATGACCATTATACTTGGGGGAGGTCCTTCAGGTGGGCGGTGAAAGGCCAAGGCTGGGTGCTCACATATGGGAGCTGGAACCACAAGGTAGCTGCCGGTCCTGGGCATCAGCACATACGCTGACCTTCAGAGGACCTATGGCTGGCAGCAGGGGTGTGGAGAAGGCGGGTCAGAAAGGAGACTGAGGCAGGGGCCAGAGTGGATGAAATAAAGGAAGTTTCATGAAGGAACTCAACAGCATGGGATCCATGAGATCACGCGGAGGCGGCCAGAGAGGTTGGGAGCTGGAAGCCTCGCCGTGCGCTATGCCAGGCCGTCTTCCTGAGGAGCTCCAGGTGATGCCTGAGGGCTTCCTGGGGTGACTGGATGGAGCCCCTCAGAAGTGGCTTTTGGCCCTGGGGTCTATTGGGGGTGCACTGCTATTAGACGGTTCCTAGGCACTACTGAGCCCATTCTGTGGGCCCAGAGGGCAAGCTCACTCTGCTGGCCAGAGGCTTGAGTGCAAAGCGAGGTCATGAAGGGCATCCTGTGCTTAATTCTAGTCTCTTCCCTCAGAATGGGTTTACACTTGGAGGCTTTGCCTCGTTTATGAACTGAAAAACAAAACAAAACAAAACCGTGTACCCTCCCATGGGAGTGGCCCACAACAGGCGCAGGAGTGCGGGTTGCTCCCGCCGGAACCCTGCCTGCGGCTCAGCTCGCCGACTGGGCCTGCTGCGGGTGCTGAGCCAGGCAGCCCAACCGAGACCGAAGGCAAGTGCAGGGGAGACCCGGCTGAGCCTCTCCTGCCCGCCGCGCTCTGCCGCTGTGACTGCTGTCCTCTCGACTTTAGGACAGAAATAGACAAACACAAGCAGCTGCTCTCCTTGCCATCTCCGATCTCCGATCTCTGATCTCCGACTGAGGCTACTCACATTTTTGTTTTTCCGGAACAGCGTCCTGGCTTCATGGCGGATGTACTGTTTTTCTCTCGCGGTGTCTTCCACCCGCCCTGACGCTGCCTGCCACTGCCTCGCAAGCCTGAAGATTCGGCGGTACAGGCCAAGCACTTCTTGTCTTGTGGCTGTGGTCATCCTCGCACTCACCGAAGTAGAAGAGGGAACATTTGCATGAAAACCCCACCTGAGAATAGGCAGCTAGAAGAGGTGCATTTTTAATCAAGCTCTTTAGACTAAAATTGCTTTCTCAAGCAAGCTGCTTGGTGGCACTGCTGGGCGGGTGCTGGCCTGCGCATCACCGCGTGGCTGAGGCTGCTCCCCGGGCTGTTTCCTACGACAGCCATTTTCACAAACATGGCAAAACCGAAACGCACATTCACTATTCTTTAAGCTGGAAAGAGTACTCGGGACGGGGCTCAGTGTGTACACTGGTAACTTACACCACTGTCCTGGGGGCCAAGGAGCAGGCACATTTTTAATAACTGAATTTAGTGCAGGAGCTGCTAACTCAAGTCCTTCCAGGCCCGGCCGGCAGGGAACGTGGCTGGCGGGGCAGTGGCCAACGGAGAGGACATGCCCCCTTAAAAAGGGAAGGACATGCCCCCTTAAAAAGGCCGCTTCTCAGCCCGGCCAGTGGCTGCCACGTAGAAACAAGGGCCTGGCGATGCCGGATCTCCGGATAGCTTACTAGGTGGCCTTCCAGATTTTTAAAAGATGAAATCTCAAAAAAGACACGAATTCATTACTTTGGAAAATGTGAGTACCATGAAGGCCAAGCAAATTGCGTCTGCAGGCTCGGTTCCACCTTAGTTCATCATAACCTTGTTGAAAAGATTTCTTGCGCTGTTGGTGTACGTCCTGTCCACAGAACTGCGCGTGCAGAGAACTAAAAATCTCGGTGATGACTGAAGTCCGTGGCCCCTCTGGGTTTTACTGAGACAACAATGTTTTATGTAGAGGACCTGGCTAAGACCCCACCTCAATGCATTCCCTAAAGTAACTGTATTTTAAAAAATTCCTGTTCATACCCTGAAATATTCCAGATACACAAAATGATACAGAGAGTAATAGCTGAAACCCTCACTGTCCCTCTTCCAAGTCAAATTCCCGTTTCTCTCCTAGAGGGAACACTAGCCTGACTGGTCTCTCACACGTCTTTGTAGGCAACGTGATATAGTGCTGCTCAGCAAGTTTTAAAACTGTATCTCCATGTGCATGGGCAAGGCCTGGCCTTCCTGTCCCTTGCTTTTTTGCCCATTTCTGTGAGACCCATCATGCTGTTCCTTTAGCTCTAGCTCATCTGTTCTCACTACTGCCATTCGGCCCACTGTCTGGTCACCCTGTGTCCACTCTCCTGCTGCTGGACGTTAGGTACTTGCTTCTTTTACTTGGGCAAAAACTTCAGCCTATTTCTCTGCTATTAACTTTAAATCAGAGAAGAAGGCCCACGCCTGGAGGATCCCGACTAGCCAGACTTATTTTTATTGATTTCAGAGAGGAAGGGAGAGGGAGAGATTAAAACATCAATGATGAGAATCACTGATCCCCTGCCTCCTGCACACCCCCTACTGGGAATCAAGCCCGCCTCTAACACGTGGAGCTGAGAAGAGGGAGAACAGATCAGAGAGGGAGCACGTGGCCAGGCACAGGGCCTCCTCTCCAGGACCCTGGCTTTACGGGCAGCTCACCAGGGGCAGGGAGGGGACGATGGAGACAGTGTGCCAGGCAGCCCTGGGTCTATGAGAACTTGGGCAGCTAAAGAATGTAGATGGGAGCTGGAAGGAGGGGTCGGCCCAGAAATTCCAAGTGCTTCCAAGGAATTCACCTCACAGGCCACCTCTCTTTCAACTGTGACTGCCCTTCCTACTCATCCCGACCCTGGCGACTTTTCCTGAGCAACCAGGACTGAACCAAGGCTTAACTGTTTGATGAAAAGCTTGAAAGCACAACTTCACCAATTCAAGTTAACAGGACTGAGGTTAAGAGCCGACACCAATTCTGACGTCCACGATGCTTCAGAGAAATTGCTTAAAAGGAATAAAAACCAAGAGAGAACATCATGCTTTGTGGCCAATCGTTAATAAAAACCCAGAGGAGATGATGACGTCTTCCTGCTAAGGAAAGGGTTCTGAGTGCTGGCTCTCCCTAAAATTCCGTGTTTTCCTGTGCACGTCTGGGAGTCAGCTCCTGTGAGAGGCAGGGCGTCTGTAACTAACTTCTACTAAAGATGCCTCACCTCCCTGTTAGCAGGACCTGGAGGAGAGTGCCTGGCATAGGAACACCGCAGCATCTCTGCTGCGTCTGAATTTAATTGCTTTCCTTCTCTCCTCTAAGAACCTCAGCCCGAGCTCTAACTGATCATACACCAGCACCTGACACAGGAGCCCTGGAATTAGGGCACTCACGGTAACAAGCAGAACAATTGGTACTTAACAGGCCTATTTTCAAAACACTTGAATGTTTAAGTGCTGGGAAAACTAATCCTAAAAGGGGGTAAGTGATGTCTCCTCTCCAACATCAGTTGACATAGAAAGCCTACATGTTACTGGACTGAAGGGGTCCATTTACCTACATGCATCAAAGCCCAATCCAACGGGAACAGGAGTTTGCAGCAAAGAAAGTACGTACAGGTTTACAAGTGAGGAGATGTGCCCAGCCCAGTCACAGGCAATTAATGCTAAAACACCTAGCCTCCCAGTGGCTCCCAGGAAATGGGCTAACGGAAAAGGTCATGATCATGGTGCCTGAAGGAGTGGGAGTGAGCGCCCTACTCATCACTGTATCAGGTCCTGTCTGGTTTCATGAGGGTGTGGTTCCCATGGTCTTACTGTTTCATGACTTGCGACTGAAACCTATCTGAAGTCAAGGTGCTATCTTGAGCTTGACCAACATTCTGTGGTCAACAGACCTCAGGCTTTATTCTTAAGACAGTTGGATACTGACCCTGGTGTCCCACGGGTTCAATTATTAAGAAAAGGAATGGATGGAGAGGAATAAGAAAGGGTCATGTGAAAGAAATGGGAGTTTCTGGGTGGCTCAGTTGGTTGGAGCACCATCTTGTACAACAAAGAGGTTTTGGGTTCAATTCTCAGTCAGGGCACATACCTAGGGTTGTGGGTTCAATCCCAGTACACATATGGGAGGCAACCAATCAATGTTTCTCTCTCCCTACAATCAATTTAAAAAAATATCCTCAGGTGAGGAAGGAAAAAAAAAAGAGGGTTTCTGTGTGGATAGAAATTATGAAGATTTCCCGAAAGAATGGTCTACGGTTTCCCATGGTGTTCTATTTTTTTTCAAAAAAAAATATTTTTATTGATTTCAGAGAGGAAGGGAGAGGGAGAGATTAAAACATCAATGATGAGAATCACTGATCCCCTGCCTCCTGCACACCCCCTACTGGGAATCAAGCCCGAAACCTGGGCAAGTGCCCTGACTGGGAATCCAACTGTGACCGCCTGGTTCAAAGGTCGATGCTCAACCACTGAGCTACACCAGCTGGGCCAGGTGTGTACCGTTTACAAGTCTGGCTTACCATTTCCTTCTAACTCTTGTGCAAAAAAAAAAACAAGGAAAAAAATGCCTCTGTTGTTCTTTCCTTAGAATCTTTCAGTTCTTTGGGGAACTCATGTTCTTTCTTATCTTAGGGTTACGTACCTATCTGTTATTTCTAGAAGGCTCTCTCCTGACCCCCTCCCATGTACCTTACCAACCCCTAGTCATCCTTTAGTTCTCCATGAAAACATGGAGGTCTCGGACGATCTCTCCCCCTCCCCTTCTGCCTCACCATATACGCCAGATCAGGTCTCTCTGTTGAACTGTCCCTTGGCACCTTGTATTTCTTCTTTGTAGCAGTGATCACTCAAGAAATGGCTTGTCAATGTCTGTCTTCCCCCACAGACTCTAACCTCTATGGGGACAGTACCACATGCATCGTATTCACTGCTGAATGCTCGGCACCTGGCAAGGTGCAAACTGCTAGTCAACAAATGTCTGCTGAATAAATGAAAATCTCATGCTATGGAAGCTTGAGATTCTAGAAACATCATCAGCCATGTATAAAAAATTTTTTAAAGTTCTTATCCTTTTGATTTATATTTGTCTCTGTTCCTAGAAAGTAACTTGTTTAGAAAAAGTACCTTTTCCCTAGAAGTCTTCCTTCCTATGGATTTAATGGCTAGACACCAACATTTATTCCTCCAACCATCACTGACCTCTCACTGATACAGAACCGACAGCCCTTTTCCTTCCTCTCTAGTTTCCGGGGTTGATCTGATGCAATGGGGTCTGCTAGGATTTCCTGCAGGACATCAGAAATATGAAGTTGTTCAGCGGTCCACAACTGAACTGCAGTATGGACTGCCTGTGAAGTCTATTCTTACATAATTTTTACAGTAAAAATTTTGTAACTTTCATTCTTATGATTGACTAGAGGCCCAGTGCACGAAATTCGTGCATGGGTAGGGTCCCTAGGCCTGGTGGCGATCAGAGCCGATCGGGGGCGTCCTGCCTGCCCACTGGGGCCTCCCTTCATTCCGCGCTGTCCCCTGGTGGTCAGCGCACATCATAGCAAGTGATCAAACTCCTGATCTCTGGTAAAACTCCCCAAGGGACACTTTGCATATTAGATATATATATATATACCAGAGGCCCGGTGCACGAAATTCATTCACGGGAGGGGGATGTCCCTCAGCCCGGCCTGCACCCTCTCTAATCCAGGACACCTCAGGGGATGTCTTCACTGCCAGTTTAGGCCCGATCCCGGCCTAAACCAGCAGTCAGACATCCCTGTTGCTATCTGCGACTGCTGGCTCCTAACTGCTCACCTGCCTGCCAGCCTGATCCCCCTTAACTGCTCTCCCCCACCAGCCTGATCACCCCTAACTGCCTCTGCCTTGGCCTCACCATCATGGCTTTGTCCAGAAGGACGTCTGGTCTAATTAGCATATTACCCTTTTATTAGTATAGAGGCCTGGTGCATGGGTGGGGGCCGGCTGGTCTGCCCTGAAGGGGGTCCCAGATCAGGGTAGGGGTCCCCTTGGGGGGTGGGGCCAGCCTGGGTGAGGAGCCTGGGGCAGTTTACAGGCCAGCCACACCCCAATCGGGGTGGGGGGACCCCGCTGGGGGACAGGGGCGGCCTGGGCGAGGGGCCACCAGGGGTTTGCAGGCTGGCCACGCCATCGGGGTGGGGGTCCCCGCTGGGGAGCAGGTGGCCTGGGCGAGGGGCCTGGGGCCGTTTGCAGGCCGGCCAGCCTCCTGATGGGGTGAGGGTCCCTGCTGGGGGCGGTTTGCAGGATGGCCAAGCCCCAGGCTTTGTCCAGAAGGTCTCCCGGTCTAATTAGCATATTACTCTTTTATTAGTATAAAAGATATATAGAAGATAGATATTTCTTTAAACTCTGCTTCTTTTCACCTCCTTAATCCCAAATCCCAGAATAAGAAGAAATAAGACATGAAGTGTGAATGGAAGAAACTGTGACTGGAAAGGGGCCTATTTTCTTTTTTTTTTTTTTTTTTTTTTTTTAAATATATTTTATTGATTCTTCACAGAGAGGAAGGGAGAGAGACAGAGAGTCAGAAACATCGATGAGGGAGAAACATCGATCAGCCGCCTCCTGCACATCTCCCACTGGGGATGTGCCCGCAACCCAGGCACACGCCCCTGACCGGAACCGAACCCGGGACCCCCCAGTCCGCAGGCCGACGCTCTATCCACTGAGCCAAACCGGCCTCGGCAAGGGGCCTATTTTCTTAAAATCGTACCCCATACATGCAGCCCCAAGCTTAGTGACCAGCACCTGCCGGGTGCAGCCTGTGTGGTACGATCAGGATGATGAGGCTTGCTGCTGCTGCACTGGCCTCGGTCATCGTCAGAGAAGCTTCCCCTACAGCAGGCATCCCAGAGACTGGCTGGGGAGGTGATGTACAATAAAAATATTTTCTTACTGCCCACCAAACCATGATTTAAAGTAATTTCATTTTGTAGTGATATAGCTTCCTTTAAATAAATGTATTACATAATATTTTAAGCTAGTTTAATATATAGGTAAATAACAGTAAAGACAGTGACAGTGGGCCTGAAAGAGCAATTAGAAGGTGCTGCTGAGGCACATTCCTTCCACTGAGCCATCCACTTGGAATGGCTATTGTGTGCCTGCCACCTGCCCCCGCCCCCCGCCACACACACACACACCCCAGCTCCCGGACTCTCAGGTGTTCTGGAGCAGCTGTCGCCAACCTTTCGGACCTCACAGACCACCAGGATCTGGAGCACCCTTCATCCAGCACATGCAGGCCTTGGTTTGACAGAAGGCCCAGGGGAGATGTCATCCACTTCACCCTTTCCGCCCCCATGGGAAGACCTTGCAGCATGAATACGGGCATTGAAGAGCAGAGATGAACATGCCCTCTCTCCTGACCAAATTTATAGAGCACGACTCTGGTCTCAGGAATATAAACATTC